TCATACATTGACCCCTTAGGCTTTATTCAAGACAAAGGGCATTTTCATCTATAACACTAGAAGGACGTTTTGTATTTCCTGTATGTGAAATATGGCTGTGAAACCAAGAGACACAAAAACAGACATTTGGTTGACAGAATAACTTCCTTTCTTACTCCCAGATATGCATACAAACTGTAAGAAAGGCTCAGTGGCATATTTAAGTTTCATGCATGAAATTGTCCTTCATTTCATTTCCATTTTTCAAAAATCTACTAAAATAAATGCATTATGGAACATTGTCTTTTGGAATGATTAATAAAATGTTTAAGATATTTTTGTGTACATTTATGACCCCCTCCTCCACATTATTTCTGAAAATGACGTTGCACATAAGCTTTTGCACAAGTCTATGCCCAATAGTGCTACTTAAAATAGTGATCCATAAACCAACACCAATGTGCAAGCTAGTTTCAAAGAAAGAAATACACAAGTGATACTAATGGGCATGAATATTTGCGCATACTGGGGAAAATGGCAATTTCTCTACATCAGGTCGTCTGAGCACTGATGTACAGAATCAGATCATTGGAGTTCCAGCTCCTGATCTTCTTTTCTCATTTCTTTTTTATGGGAGTGAGTTGTTTATGCTGGAAACTACAGAGGACTAAGAAAATAATAGACATATTTTTCTTTATTTTACTAACATTGATAATTTCTTCTGTTCTTACTGGGTTTTGTTTAATTGATATTTCTGAAAGTCAGGTGTTCTTTTGAAATACTGTGCTTTCGATATACTAACTGTGCTAACAGTGTGCCAAATAAAGCTACAGACAATATATTTTATTTTCCTGATGTAACAATATGACTTCCAATTTGTATAGATTGCTAATCTTACACACACACACACACACACACACCCCAAGATCTGCTGTTTCCGGTGGAGAAAAAAATTGGGGTGCTGTGAGTTTTCTATCCTGTATGGCCATGTTCCAGAAGCATTCTCTCCTGACAGTTCATCCACATCTACGGCAGGCATCCCCAGAGGTTGTGAGGTCTATTGGAAACTAGATAAGTTGAGAGTCCAGGGTGGAAGAAAGAACTCTTGTCTGCTTCAGGCAGGTGTGAATGTTGGCCACCTTGCTTAGCATTGAATTCTGAGTGTTGCTTTTTTAGTTACTGTCCTGATTTTAGAAAAAAAATTATGCTAACCAAGGTGACCAACTGCAACATTCACACTTGCCTCAAGCAGACAAGAGTTCTTTCTCCCACCCTGGATATTCCACAGATATATAGACCTCACTTGCGTAGTTTCCAACAAACCTCACAACCTCTGAGGATGCCTGCCACAGATGTGGGCAAAAAGTCAGGAGAGAACACTTCTGAAACATGGCCATACAGCCCGGAAAACTCACAGCAACCCAGTGATTCTGGCCATGAAAACCTTTGACAACACATTGAGAAAAATAGTTTTTACCCCCATGACTTCAAAATTTCCCACAATTTTATGTCTCAACTCTGAGTTCTCCAGACATGATACATTACTAAATAAATACATTGTACAGATCTTGCCAAAGAAACCACACTACAGCCAAGTTTTATGTCACTGAACCTGGTTTACACAAGGGTCCCCCCCCACCACCACCACCACCTACACATACTCTGCCTGCAACTTCTCTATTTTGATGCAAACAGTGCAGATGACGTTTTACAAAAATCTTTTAAAGACTAAATTCTTGGAAAATCTTGAAATTAATTTGTTGCTGGACTACAATGTGGTGTTCAAACAAGGGATACTAGTTTACTTACTTAAGCAGTGCAGGTTGAGTATCCCTTATCTATTCAGATTGTGGAACATAGACATTTGTGTGTGTGTGTATACACACATACACACACACACATATAATGAGATATCTTGGAGACACCACTCAAGCCTCAGTATGGACTTCATTAGTTTCATATACACTTATATCAGTTTAAGTGGCTGAGGGGGGAAAGGAAGGGGCCTGAGGTTGTTAGGAATTGTGGGAGTTGAAGTCCAAAACACCTGGAGGGCCCAAGTTTGCCCATGCCTGCTTTATATGCATAGTTCTTCAGGAATTTTATAAACAGCACATTTAATAATTGTGTGTATGCACATTTTGTGTGTACATGTTGAACCAACAGAAAATGAAAGTCTCAGCCACCCACAATTTTGGATTTGGGAGAATTTTGGTATTCCACATAATAAGGGATGCTCTACCTGTACCTAGGAAATACTACAAATCAGAGGTTTTGAGTTAGGATTGGTAAGATTCCTATACAAGGAATAGATAGAAACCCCTTTACATTTAAAAGATGTTGAGAAACAGGTTGCCACCATGGGTGCACAAACTGTATAAAAGAAGAAGGTCTGGATCTTCTTCTTGCACTCAGTCACATCCCTATGCCCAGCCACGAATCATAGAAGCATAGAGTTGGAAGAGACCTTGTGGGCAATTTAGTCCAACCCCCTGCCAAGAAGCAGGAAAATTGCATTCAAAGCACCTCCAACAGATAGCCAACCAGCATCTGTTTAAAAGCCTCCAAAGAAGAAGCCTCCACTACACTCCAGGGCAGAGAGTTCCATTGCTGAACAGTTCTCATGGTCAGGAAGTTTTTCTTAATGGTCAGGTGGAATCTCCTTTCCTGTAGTTTGAAGCCATTGTTCCACATCCCAGTCTCCAGAGCAGCAGAAAACAAGCTTGCTCCCTCCTCCCTATGTCTCCCCCTCATACATGGCCATCATGCCTCCTCTCAGCCTTCTCTTCTGCAGGCTAAACATGCCCAACTCTTTAAGCCACTCCTCATAGGGCTTGTTCTCCAGGCCCCTTATCATTTGAGTCGTCCTCTTCTGGACAATTCCAGCTTGTCAACATCTCCCTTCAATTGTGTCACTCAGAACTGGACACACTATTCCAGATGTGGTCTAACCAAGGCAGAATAGAGGGGTAGCATGACTTCTCTGGATCTAGACACTATGCTCCTATGATGCAGGCCAAAATCCCATTGTCTTTTTTAGCCGGTGAATGACATTATGTTTAACTTGTTGACAAGCCCTGCAAGAAGAAGACATTCTCATTCCCTCCAACAAGGGGATGCCTATCCAGCATCTTCCCCTCCTCACCTGTATCACTTCTCATGTTTATTTCCACTAGGATCACAGCTATGCCACCAGGAGACAGATACACCTCTCTACTCTGTGCTTTTATCATTTTGGAGAGGTGCAGGGGATGATCCCAGTCTCTCTGCAGAACGGTGTGGTTGCTTAGTAGGTGAGACTGGACTGCACAGCTCTCCTGCATAGGTGTCCCTGCAGGCAGGCAGGCAGGCAGGCAGGCAGGCAGGCATTTAAAGACCCCAAGTGCTGAATCACCACTCCAATATGGTTGCCTGGCAGGAGCTCTTATTCATACCTGCTAGAGGGCCTTTTCATTAAAAGAGTGTTTAATTCCCTCTTATTTACTGAGGGATAAAGCTGCAGACTGGCTTTTCTCTGATCCTTCCAACCTGCTAAAGGATCTTGGGCTGTAAACCTTAATAGACACAACTACAAGAACACTGGCCCATCAATCCAAGGGGAAACTCGTGAGACCCTTCCAATAAGAACACCCAATTCCTCCTCCAAAAGGAATAGAGAGAGGACATTCTCCTCTTCCTGGGAAAACACTGCAGCTGGGATTTGCCTGTGTGGCATTCAATCTAGCAAAGGCAATGCCCTGCTTGGGGAGGATTCACACTGCTATAGAATGCCTCTTCGGAACTGCATTGTATGGTCAGTGTTCATAAGTAGATGAGTTGTTGTAGGTTTTTCAGGTTGTATGGCCATGTTCTAGAAGCATTTTCTCCTGAAGTTTTGCCTGCACCTATGGCAGCCATCCTCAGAGGTTGTGAGGTCTGTTGGAAACTAAGTGGGGTTCATATATCTGTAGAATGTCCAGGGTGTTGCAATTGGCCACCTTGATTAGCATTTTAAAAAACCCTCTAAAATCAGGACAGTAAATAAAAAAAAACAACACTCAGAAAACAGGAGAATTCCAGACAAGAAACAACCAGGGCCAGCTAACACCTCCCACTCCGGTGGGAAGCTTCCCATCAACAAGAGGAAGTATCATAGTGATGAAGATGCAAAATAAGGTTGTGGCAATAACACACCTGATTCCACCTTAAATGGGCGAAACGTCAGGAGAGAGTGCTTCTAGAACATGACCATACAGCCCGAAAAACCTACAACAACCCAGTGATTCCGGCCATGAAAGCTTTCGACAATACATAGATCAGCAGAGTCCTATAATGCCTTTTCAGTCTGAATAGCAGTCTATGGCAGCCTGGATCCAGCCCTGCAATGCGCAGCAAGACGGACGTCCCGAGCTTTTCCTCCTCCATCCTGGGCTTTCATTGCGTCCTCGGGGTAATCGGATTTCTCCCTTCCTTCCCTTCTCTTCCCCCCCCCCCCCCCCGCCCCGTGTTTAATCCTCCTCCTGTTACTTAAACACACGTCATAAATATGCGATTGGCAGGCTGCAGGGCTCTCTCGGCTCTGCACCACAGCGATGCGCTCCCGTGAGCGAGTTCAGGATACTCGGATTCCGCAGACACCGTGCCCAGAGGCATGCCCATCGCCATCCCCATCCTCGCGCGCCCTCTTCCCCTGGCATGGGAGCCCGACCTTGCGAGGCGGGTGGCTCTGGCCAGCCCCGACCTTGCTTGCCCATCTCTCTTCCTGATCCCGTTTTGCACACACACACACACGCAGGCAGGCCCCGAAGGGGGCTCCAAAAGCAGCGGATCCCCACGGCAGCGGGTGGGTCTGGATGCGGCAAGTCCGAAAGGTATGCCTCCCAAAGCATCTCCGCGCCCTCTCTCTCGGGGCTGCAGGTGGACCAACCCCAGGCACCACTGCAAGGGAACGACCGCAAGGTTTCCGGCGAGCCCGGAGTGCCTTCCCCTTGGCGTGTGTGCCCCCCGCCAGCTCCGCTCCAAGCAAGGGCATGCTTACTTACCCTCCTGGCACTTCCTCCTGCAAGCCTGCGCCACCCGGGCTGCCTTGCAAAGGTCTGCGCATTCGCCAGGAGCGAGGAGAGGAGAGGGGCGGGGGAGAGAGGGGCGGGGGAGGGAGGGAGGGAGCGAGCTCTGGAGGGGAGGCAAGGGCTGCTAGCCCTCTGCAAGCACGCGCGCGCAGCCTCCCTGGCACGCGCGCATGGTGCCAGCCCCGCCGCCGCCGAGGAGCGTGGGCAGCCCGGGAGGAGTGAGCGGGTAGGTGCGCGCGCACCCTCTCTCTCTCTCCTTCTCTCCCTCCCTCCCGTGGAACCGAGCAACAGCAGGAGGCCGGGGGTGGGGAGAGGAGAGGAGAGGAGAGGAGGGGGGATTTAATGGAGCTCAGCCTGATCCAGGCTGTGAAGGGCTCCAGGAAGGCAGGACTGGAGGTTGCCCTTTGGAACTAAAAATGAACTGAGGATGAGGTCATGCCTCGGTGGAAAAAAAAAGAAAGAAAAGAAGAAGCGCCCCTGACGTCACCCGCAGCCAATCAGCGAGGGAGGCTCAGGGGCAGGATGACGTCAGCCTCTGATCCCGGGGCTTTGGGTGCAGATTAAACGGGAGGAGGCGGGCCAGGGGCAGGCTCGGCCGCCGCCGCCGCCGCCGCTGACAAGGGACGAGGGCTTCCCGCTTCCTCTTTCGCCTCCCCAGCTCGCTTCTCGGCCTCATCCCCTCCCAATGGCTCCCCTTCAATGGGGAATGGGGAATAGCATGAGAGCTGGGCCCGGAAGCTCCGAGCGTTACGGAGATGCCGCATCGCTCATTCGGGAGGGCTCTTTGCGCAAGAGAGACTTAGCTCATGGCAGCCAGGCCGGAGACAGATCATATAGAAGGCATGGAAGCCTTCTTTGAGGGTGAAACCCTCACCCTCACCCTGAACCATATTGTAAGCCTAACCCATTTCCCAAAACCCAAACCCTAAACCATATCCTAACCCAAACCCTAAACCTTGCCCTAACTCTAACTGTAACCCAAACCCTAAACCTTACCCTAACCCTTATGCTAACTCAAACCCTGACCCTAACCCAAACCCTGAACCTTACCCTAACCCTTTCACTAAACCTAACCCCAACCCTAACCCTTAACCATACCCTAACCGTAACCCCTAACCCCTACCCTAAACATAACCCTAACCCAAACCCCAAACCTTACCCTAACCCTTACACGAACACAATCCCAAACCCTAAACCTTGCCCAAACCCAAACCCTAAACCTTACCCTAACCTTTACACTAACCCAAACCCTAAACCTTGCCCTTACCTTAACCCTAACCCTTACCGTAACCCTAACCTAAACCCTAAACCTTGCCCTAACCCTTACCCTAAGCGTCCTTTCCTTTCTATCTTTCCTTCGCTCTCCCTGCCTTCACTCCGCCCCCTCTCTTCCCTTATTCACAGCCGCCTTTACAACATCTCTGTTAACACTCGGAGCTTCCAGACCCAGCTATCATACTCTCACCGGGAAATGTTCCAACCTTGGTGCAGGGAATGCAGCGGTGGAGGGGGGGGGGGGGAAAGCACTGTCCATTCAAAGAATCATAGAATTATAGAGTTGGAAGAGACCTCATGGGCCATCCAGTCCGACCCCCTGTCAAGAAGCAGGAAAATCGCATTCAAAGCACCCCTGACAGATGACCATCCAGCCTTTGTTTAAAAGCTTCCAAAGAAGAAGCCTCCACCACACTCCGGAGCATAGAGTTCCACTGCCGAACAGCTCTCACAGTCAGGAAGTTCTTCCTCATGTTCAGATGGAATCTCCTTTCTTGTAGTTTGAAGCCATTGTTCCATGTCCTAGTCTCCAGGGCAGCAGAAAACAAGCTTGCTCCCTCCTCCCTGTGGCTTCCTCCCACATATTTATTGATGGCTATCATGTCTCCTCTCAGCCTTCTCTTCTTCAGGCTAAACATGTCCAGCTCTTTAAGTCGCTCCTCCTAGGGCTTGTTCTCCAGACCATTGATCACTTTAGTCACCCTCCTCTGAACACATTCCAGGTTGTCAATATCTCTCTTCAATTGCGGTGCCCAGAATTGGACACAATATTCCAGGTGTGGTCTAACCAAGGCAGAATAGAGAGGTAGCATGACTTCCCTGGATCTAGACACTATGCTCCTATTGATGCAGGCCAAAATCCCATTGGCTTTTTTTTTTTGCTGCCGCATCACATTGTTGGCTTGGACCAAATAGGATTTGCATTTACAGGCGAAGGTAGAGAAAGGCTTCTTTGCAGGAAGAGGGACTGGGATACCTCCCAACCCACTAGAGCAGTGTTTCTCAACCTTCCTAGTGCCGCGACCCCTTAATACTACAGTTCCTCATGTTGTGGTGACCCCCAACCATAACATTATTTTCGTTGTTACTTCATAACTGTAATTTTGCTACTGCTCTGAATCGTCATGTAAATCTCTGAAAAGCAGGATGTATTTTCATTCACTGGATGAAATTTGGCACAAATACCCAATATGCCCCAATTTGAATATTGGTGGGGTTGGGTGGAGGGGTTGATTTTGTCATTTGGGAGTCGTAGTTGCTGTTGCTGGAATTTATAGTTCACCTAAAATCAAAGAGCATTCTGAACTCCACCAATGATAGAATTGAGCCAAACTTGGCACACAGAACTCCCATGACCAAGAGAAAATACTGGAAACATCTGGTGGGCATTGACCTTGAGTTTTGGAGCTGTAGTTCATCTACATCCAGGGAGCACTGTGGATTCAAACAATGATGGATTTGGACCAAACTTGGCACGAATACCCAATATGCCCAAATATGAACACTGGTGGAGTTTGGGGAAAATAGACCCTGACATTTGGGAGTTGTCATTGCTGGGATTTATAGTTCACCTACAATCACAGTGCATTTTGAACCCCACCAACAATAGAATTGAGCCAAACTTCCCACACAGAACCCTTGTGCCTTGAAGGGACTTGCTGCCGTGAGCCTCCCTCCAGCCTCACATGCTCTCCCTTGCTCACTCATGTACACCATGCTACCATGCGCCAAGCATGCCTCCTCTCCCTTCCCCTCCTCTCCCCCCCCCCCGGCTTGGAGTCTCAGAAACAGCTAGCCAATCACAACTGAGGAGGGCTTTTGGTGGGAGCATTCTCATCTGATGGAGAGATCTTCAGCCTTCTCTGCCAAAGGGGTTCCTATAAGTATAGGTTTTCTGATGGTCTTTGGTGACCTCTCTGAAACCTCCTCATGACCCCCCACCCCCCGGGGTCCCAACTCCCAAGTTGAGAAACACTGCTCTAGACCTTGAGACAGTGGTATTGGCTTGGCTGCTGCATGAAGAAGGATTTGATCTCCAGGAATGGACTAAATGACTGCTGGTCAGAATATAGCCACACCTGGGCTGTGCTTCCTGCAGGGTGATGGCAGGCAGATGAGTATGTACTGGTCTGGAAGGTCAATTCAAAGGACGGTGGATTAAATCATAGGTAAAGCAATGATGTCATAATAGTGCAGGAGTCATTCTCATACATATATTTCAGTGTGTGCTGTGAGTTGGTTTCAACACTATCCATAATCTAGTGCTGTGGGTGGAAAAATAATATTCAGAGCTAAATTTCATAAGCCACTCATATTTGCAGTTGATGGTGGTTTTGTTTATACCATCACAGTTGTGCACAACTCTATTTTCCATACTAACCACGGCCCATTTCTTCCTTTAACAGAATTGTGCTATTTCCCCCTTAAATGACATAATTGAGGGACAGTCCTTTCTAACACAGCAGGCATGTAGCCACGGGGGGGGGGGGGGGGGGGGGGGGCTTCAGCCCCCCCCACCCGAAATTCTCATGGTGGTCCGCGAGAAGGCCTTACTGGTACATTATTTAAACTGTTATGTTTATTCATATCATGATCTGATCACCATACTCAATATATCCCATATGCATGGGGGTATTGGGGTAATGATACAAAAGGTTTGCTAGGTAGACCCTCTTTCACTCAGACTCAGCCCCCCCCCCCCCCCAAATCAAAATCCTAGCTATGGGCCTATAACACAGGTATTGAATATAATGACACACCACCATTCTAGGGTGCAAATCTCTTGTTACCTGGTTTTGGATGCCAAATTAAGCTAGTACTTTGGGATTGGAGGCTGTCGTGTTGTCCCTGGGATATCCAGGTAGGGCTTGGAAACAATTTTGGCTGAAACCAAGATTCCCAGATATCCACAGCCATGTTTAAGACTTCTTTCTGTGATTTACCTGCAACACAGGCTTCCTTTTTTCCTACTGCCTTCTACTTTACTGAGCATTATCCAACATGTGTCAGCTTCAGTTTGATTATTTTTGGCGTGATTTGGCCAAGCCTGATCCATACTTGACCATGAAAGCCTGGAAGTAAAGGTTTGAATGCTGATGGGGTTTGGGGTGATTGGCCCATGATTTTGGGAATTGCAGTTCACTCACATTCTTATGCATTTTCTAATGGAAGCATTCATAAAAATCAACAGAAAAGACTGGCTTTTTTCTAATAGAGCTACTAATTATCAATGTGATATTTCTTAACCCCCTCCCCCCGCAAAAAAAAAAAACCAGTTCCTTTTCAAATAATCTGGAGGGGGGGGAATGACCTACCCGTGTGGGTGTTGTAGTTCACCTGCATGTCTTTCTCAAGTAACCCGGGCATTGCTGGATCCCCAAGCTAGTAATAAATAAAATATGTAAAGTTACAAAATGGCAGCCCTCATTTCCTCCCCTGGGATAGCCAACTTGTTCTTTCCCCTTGAAGAGTTAAGGATATGGCAGACTGAGGTGTAGGTGTAGAATTACCAGTGGGCTTCTTTGAGGCAGGGCAGGGATTGTAATGAGCCTAACCCAGCCATCTCTATTTCAGAACCAGTTCTCATGATGTTATTTCTCAAGAGCTGTGATCCTCCTAAACAGCTCTTTGGATGCATGCACTTAATTGACTATTGATGTATACACTTGGATGTGCCAATGCATTTCACATTCTATATCTAAAAAGAAGTAATTGTTTGACATGCAAGTCAGATTTCATATCTAGACATTATTATGATGTATTTAATAACAGGTGTAACCACATTGAATGTCCTTTAAAATGCCGTTCTTCTTATAGTAATTTAGAAATTGATATGTTTAAGCTATTCTTTGCAAAATGCTCATAGCTGCAAGAGAAGCAATTCTACGTTGATGCTAATA